TGGATAGAGGAGTGGGGATGATAATGGCCATCAGAAATGATTACACTTATGTTCCGACACCCCTATGTGACAACAACCCACACCTAACATTGTGTTACTCCCGGTTAGGATTAGGGTTACAGTTGGGGAACATAGGTATTGGGGAACATAGGTATGCGCTCTGGCCAATCTTGTCATATTCCCAGAGATGCACAGCCAATTAAAGAGGAGGTGGAATGCTCGAAGACATTTCCGTCATTTTTTCGGGTATATGTAGCCTACGGTGTGATGAAATAAAAACGACTGTTGTGTCTGTCATGAAATGAGTACAAAAGGTTCTTTTGAGAGCTGTTTTTCAGGTCCTGTTTCGACCCGAACGTGCAATTTGTGTAAAAGTCGTCGTTGGGGGCAGCAAACAAAACATAGTAAATCGTGACGTAATAAACAGGACTCGTGTATACTGCGCTGCATCGGGAGTCCTGTTTATTACGTCACGATTTACTATGTTTTGTTTGCTGCCCCCAATGACGACTTTTACACAAATTGCACATTCGGGTCGAAACAGGACCTGAAAAGCAGCTCTCAAAAGTACCTTTTGTAGTCATTTCATGACAGAAACAATAGTCGTTTTTATTTCATCACACCTTAGGCTACATATACCCGAAAAATGACGGAAATGTCTTCCAGCATTCCACAACCTCTTTAAGGTACAAATTACACTGTGTTCAGTTGCATGGCATTTTACAGGGTGCATCAGACTATAGGCCTAATTGGTTCATTTGTGAAAGTATATGAATGAGCACTGTCAAAAGTGATTACATCTTACATGTAATAGGTGGTTCATCAGCTTTCCATTCCTACCATATTTGCATCTCTGCGGTTACAGATGACCATGCAGGCACCATGAATTTCAAGAGAAAGTGAAACCAATTTGACAGTTTACAAGTTCATTAATTTCACATGCCAACCTATTATGTACAGATGATTATTTTTTATATATGCCCCTGTACTGTACGGGCTCCGTGCACAACGGCCAGAAAATTGGGGGAGACCTAGACTGGTTCCCCGTCCAGCCACTGTGTATTGATCCAAAGATGATCCAAAGTTATTGGGGGCGGATTGAGTGGCTGGGACTGTTTGAGTATTTGACACAGCTAGATGCTTTGACTCAGGGTGAGTGGTAAAACAGCTGTGCCTACAACTTGCCTGCTTTGTCTGTTCATGGTCTGTTGACTGAGTTTGACTAATCACGGTGCTTGCTTGACACATGATCTGACTGCTGGTGACTAGCCTGTGTTAAAAGTATAGCAGGGGAAGTGGAACTAAATTTTGACTGTCTGTGACTGTTTAAATAGCAGGAGGGTTAAGTACCGGTACTAAGCCCGCCCCCCCCCCCCCCAACAAAAATTTTTTCAGGGGCCTCTTCGCTATTCAACTAGACATTATCTGGTCTAAAATTCCCGATACTTTGTTCCATTTCCATGTAAGACGGCCATTTAGCATTTAATCCGCTTCACTCGGGAGCATTGTAATAGATGCCTGGCTTCAAAGGTTCATTGTGCATTTTTTTTTAAAAGGGTTTGATGAAAAGGCCAAATTTACATTTAAATTGAGTTATTTAAAGAACACTCTTGTTCTTGAAGTTGTTCTTGCAAATGTAGATGATTATTCGAGCAATACACTCGAACCTTTTTTTTTTGTTATTTGTGAAGTGACATTTGAGTTTCAGTGCTTGCAGCGAGTATTTTCCATTTTTTTTAAAAACTCGTTTGGAAATGTTGTCATTATCCCTATTCACTGCTTGCAGCAAGATATTGATACACGCTAATATATATGCATTACATTCTAAGAAATCAAGGCTTAAAAAAAGTAAGAATAGTAATTCTTTGTGACATATGAGTGGATGACAAGTCACTTTATTCCCAGGGGAAACATTTCAGCGTGGGATACAAAGTAAACAAAGGAGGGAAAAGCCAGGTTTTTTCTAGTTCACAAGTTGGTGCGGCTGAATCTCTTCCCAGTGTGTGTCCTGAATCAACTCTCGAACTTGTTGCTAGAGGCTAAAGGATAAGCACCGTCGATATGTCGATATTACTCGATCATTCAATAATATTTTGATATTGATATCGCCAATAGCAATTTTTTAATCGTAACGATATGGAGGAATTATATCTCGAAAATATTGAAAATGCGTCAGATTATTGTCACAATAAATCTCCCGTTGTGCTTTTACTTTGTGTTTAACGTTTGCTGTATAATGAAATAAAAGTTGGCGGCAACTTGTGCTTGTGACTCAAAATAAAAACATTGCGAAAGGCCAAGCGGCGTCGCTTTGTGCTCTGCGTTCGCTGGAATTCGCGGTCTCCCCCAATTTAAAACTATACAAAAAACGCTCATTGTGGACAAAATGTCAGTGCTGAGATTTGTTTTAAAGTTTGAGCAATATGCTCCAGAGAAAGCCGTGGAAAACTGGGACTTAAAATTAAAAAAAAAAAATTGAATTTTTTTGTTATCAAAGTGTCATCTTTATGGTCTTTAACTTTTACATGGGATAATCGATATATCGAATGTTCTCGATATTAGATTTCCGATAAATCGATTATTGAAAATTCTGCTATCGACAGTGCTTAGCAAAAAGATTTCCCGCCAAATTTTATGAAAACAGACGCTGTGCTTGGACAATAATCTGCTGATTATTTGTGGATTCTTCCTCTTTTTTTCTCCAAATCTCACTCCTGCTTTATTCTGAAGATGCGCAAACTCGTCGCTTCGCGTGGGCATCAGGTGTCGTCATTGGAGTGCCCCGCCCCGGTGGTCTCCCCCAACTCTCCCTTTGTAAACTCTTGAGGGGGTGCTTGTGCACGGAGTCAACAACCAATAATACCAATTGTCTTTTCTGGGTGCAGACCAGTAAGTAGGCCTGAAATTGCCTACGCCGACCAAATCACGATTTGCATGCCCTCAAATTCTCCGGTATTAGAGCATTTTGAGGGCCGCGAACTGGAGGATTTGTAAAAAAAAAAGAAGGATGGAAGCCATGCAGAGGACTGTGAGCTCCCATTAGTGTGAAATTTGGATGAAATTAGGCCCTAAAATGGCTGCATTTTGCAATGGAGCGTAGGCATCCGTTTTTCAAAATGGCGATGGGCTTCAGGCCTGCTTTTAGGGGTGATCATCTTTGGATGGAATTTCTCCCAAAAGTCATTGGTTAAACTCGCAAAAATTGAACGGAAAATGAAAGATGATGAAATATTAAGCTTTAATTTGATGTGTGTTTCAAACACCTTGGAGAGTTGTGAGTATTTTAAATAAGTTTCGGAAGTGCGTGCAATTATCACGGAGGTTCTAGTATGGCAGTCTGTTTACTGGTCTGCAACATACATGTAGCTTCTGGTAATTAGCCGTGCCAGGGAAGGGTGGTACATATGACTATGTACAATTCAATACTTTTTTCTCAAGTTAAAGAAAACCTTGACAAATCTAACACGGCTTGGGCAACTCCAGCATTTTTTGAAATTAATTCTTCCCCAAGACTTTCAAATCTATCCACTGCCGAATAAAAAGGAAACATTTCCATAATTTCAGTATTTTGAAGTGAATCACTTATATACAGGGTGAGTCAAAAAAAGCGGAACCCAAACCCCAAAAAATGTATTTCATTTTTTAAAAATATGGAGCACCAAAAATAATAATGACTGGAAAGCCAATTTCAAAAGCTACTTTTAGATGAAAAAATTACTGAAATTGCTTTATCCGTTAAAAGAATATCACCATTTAAATGCAATGACCGTATCCCCGCGTAAAACCTGTCTCGTCCAAAAAAATCAATATATTGTGTGTTTTGACTGTTTGGAACAACAAAGAAAATGACACAGAAAATACTTGTTTCAACAACTGTCACCAACTGTAGCACACAATATTTTGATTAACAACCCTGGTTAGGCAAACGATATGATTTATAAAATCTACTTTTTTAAAAGGCAGGCCTTCAAAAGGACTTTGTTGCATATTGTTAACATTTAAAGCAAGATTTCATCGCTGGTGATGTTTGAAGACAATTGTGACGACGATTCTTGAAATCGCATTTTTTGGACGAGACAGGTTTTAGGGTCATTGTGTTTAAATGGTGATATTTTTTGAACGGATTGACCAATTTTAGTAATATTTTCATCCAAAAGTAGCTTATGAAATTGGCTTTCCAGTCATCATTATTTTTGGTGCTACATATTTTTTTAAATATGAAATATAATTTTTGGGGTTTGGGTTCCGCTTTTATTGACTTGCCCTGTACAAGGTCAGATGTAATATCCCTCTCTGAAACGTGATCATTTAAGACATGTCTTTCAAAATGTTTTTAATTTATTCTCCCAGTTCCTACAGGATGTTGATCCCCCCAAGTGACTTAATGATTCCAAATCCAATCTGATTTTGATTTTGTTTGATTTGAGGAGGAGTCACCCAAACGTAATATGGTGATGAGTCAAATCATATGCCGATGAACTATACATGTATCTGGGTATTACACAAAATTAGTGTTCTAAATGTATAGGCAAAAAAAAAAAGTCTCCGGTTTCTGGTATATGGAGCTTGCCCAAAAAGTGGTGCGGCGACGCGGCATTTTTTTTTTTTACCTGTTTTTTTTGGCTTCAAATGTCGGCTGATGACTGCAAATGGTGCCCGACTAAACTTAGTGCAAATATTATGGGAGACCAGAGAGGCCACATAAAGCTTATTCTCGATCATAACCCCATCTAAAAACACGTTAAAATTGTGCAGCAGCAGGATTCCAGTCAAACCAGTGAGTTTGGCGGTTTTGAGACATCATCTTTCATTGAAAAAAAACTTTTTCATTTTGCCGACGCGCATGGCTACGGCGACGCGCGCGCATAACAGAAACCGGAGACTTTTTTTTTTGGCCATAGGCATGACAATATCAAAGAGATTTGGCAGGAGATTGATGTTGTTTCTTTTCGCTTTCTGTGTTTGTACAGTAAGGATGAATTGCTATTGAAGAACAACATATGTAGACGGGGTTTTGCCAAGATAACAGTATTGTTTACCATTTTGGATGTGACCCTGGTAGATAAAATCACTACCAAACCTGGACAAAGTTGACAAATGTTGTTGTTCAGGTTTCGGCATTTTCAAATTCCTGAGGTTTCCAGCTTCAAAATGATATATGACTTTCATAGGTACCGCGACCCTATCAACCCTTAAGGAATTAAGTGACAGACACATGACGACCCAATTATGAGCTAAACACACAATTAATTTTTTTTTTTTATAAATTTCTGTACATTTTGGTTTCACTGAAATGACCAAAGAACACTTCTGCTTGATGGATTTAGAATTATATTTTGGGAAATTGCAAATTTATAGTTTCTGATTCAGAAAATCTCAAAAACCCCAACGGTCAGTCCCATATCTCAAAATCCCGTACATGTCCTTTTGCGTAAAAACAACTTCTGCAACTTTGTCTGCGTATCTGTGGAGCAAGTCTCACTCCGGAAAAGACTGAGACCAATTTCTGGTGAAGTTCTAGAATCGAGGTTTTGACAAACGCTGCTGATCGAGCCCCTTTAAAAAAAAACAAAAAAAACAAAACCGGAGTATGGACATTGAACAACAGTGAACAGTCATTCCAATATAGGATGTGCCTGTCATGCACTTGGCCAGTGGGACCCCAAAGAATGATGGCATAAGTTCAAAGGTCGTGGCCCTATAAATTGTACAATCCCCTCCCCCAGCCTCCCTCCCCCCCCCCCCCCCATCCCAAGGGTCGGTCCCTATCTGCTAGGCTACTCCGGTCAGACCCGTCTGGGAAAATGCAAAATGTCATCTATAGGAAATGATCGTGCAGCTCTGACCAGTTGCCCCACATGGAACTCATTTAACACACAACCCTACACTGAGGTCACTTGTTTTTTTCTTCCTTTTTATCGCCCGACCTTTCTATCCTTTGTGACACAGTGATAAATGGCCAACGCTCAAATTTTTGTTTTTTGACCGGCCGCGGCCCACGAAGCACTGGACACTCGGACTTTGAAATATGTCCCAGGTCACATTGCCAAACCCCTTTATATCATTCGCTGCGAATGCGGCCTGCAGGCTTTTGAAAAGAGCCTTAAGTCAATAACAGTGTGGACCCGCTTCAGTTTGTTATTTTAAGCAGAGGCCAGGGTTTTTTTTAATACATGAAGTTTGGCCACTTTTTTTTCTCCTTAGTTTCAGATGAAGTGGAATATTTGATATTCAATTCAATTCAGTGTGATTCGCTTCAAGGAGGCATTCATTCCCATTCCAACGAATTGTGATATCAACTGACAGATAAGTTTAATAAGAAAGATGAATTAAGACGCATGATTTTCTTTTCATTTTATCTTTTTTATTTTCATCTACAGCAACCTCCATTCAGGATTATTCATCTTAAATAATCGTGTTACTTTAGTCGGCACCATAATGTAAGTTTAATCGATTAAATTACTTGAAATCCCAGAAAGGACAAAGCATAACAATGTTTTGGTACTGCACAACGCAGCATAATTCATCTGGCATTTTCAGAAAAGGAAAAATGTTTTCATACCCTTTTCAAAGATTGTAGAGAGTTAGACGCAAGAAACAACTACATGTATTCATAACTCATAAAAATTCCCGGACTTGTAACTAAAGCTTTACTTGAAAAAAGGATATCTGAAAAAAATATTTTTGCCATTTTTTTTCATAAAACCTTTTAGATGTAGAAATTGGATAATCAATAGTCGGTATAAAGACAATGTTTTCTTTCCACAAAATGATGTTTGAAAAGATGTAATAAAATCTGAATGGTTGGCCAAATATGCATTGCTTTAATAACAATACTTTCTAAAAACAGAAATATGATCAAGATGACCGGATATATCATACATGTATAGCTTGTATCGGATCATGTGTTATTATCCATAATTTTTAGTCATCTCAAGTTTCACAGACGTTCATTCCGTTTTAGCAGTGAAATTTGGTCGTTCCCCTGCTGGGCAGATGTTTTTTCCACGCGTATCGTTTGCCGTCAATTCAAATGATGATGTTTTAAATTGTTGGGCCAAAATCCGCTGCGATGAAGGAAGTCCTGAATATGAATAATGTTAAAATCCGTACATTGCATGAAAAAAAAAAAAAATGAAATAGGAGGGAAAATGTGATTGCCAAAAGTTTACACATAAAATATTGTGGCTTTTTTGGGGTACTTGTCTACTCCTCCTGTCAGCCCCCCCCCCCCCCCCCCCCCCCCCCCACCCCCCCCCCCCCACCCCCCCCCCCACCCCCCCCACCCCCCCCCCCCCCCCCAAAAAAAATTCAAGCCATCAAACAAGTGAAAAAATGTTTCATTGTTTAAAGTGACTTGTGTACAGGATGAAAAATGACTACTTTTACATAATTGACATTTTCTCAGCAACCCAAAGTGGTATTTTCACGATTTTGTTCAGTATTTGAAAGAAAAAGCTCTCAGCTTTAATCTGATATCCAAAACATAAAAATCCACCGACCCCTTTTGTTTTCAAAAGCAAATGTTTTAAGGTTACATGTTTTGGGTCACCCTGTTCTGATGTAATGTCTTCTCTCAGATTTAATAGGCTGAAAAAAATCTCATGCCTTGTTCTTCAGGGGAAAGAAAAAACACCCAACAACAGTCGATGCAGGTATTTTTAATACTGCATGTGCTTGACTGCATTCCTTCAACAACTTACTTGACAGTCCTTGCAACCATTAGCTAACCTTGGCCCTGAACAGTCATTTACTTGAATGTTTTGCCATGGTCAGGTTGCTTGGCCGCTCATTATTGCCCGGGCCAATCCACAAACGAAAAATGCAAAAAGAAACAGAAGGGAGAAGGAAACAAATTGATGGCATGATGGAGCTTTTTTGATTGCTATTCCAGTGCTCAGGTCATGTTGGGCTGCGGACGGGAAGTGACCAACGACATGTCCAATTTGTTAGACTGTTGAGGCAGCAATGGTGTTCAGGTTGCACTGGAATGAATTCCAACAACCATTTTTTTTTTCAGCTATGAAAATAATCCAGAAAACTAGAGATATCTGTCTTGATTAAACTACCCACTCCGATAAAAATACACTTTCAAACTGAAGTCAGGGGTGTGCGGGAAAGATTGGTGGGGGCTTGAAGAAGCTGAAATATATACAATGTATACAGGGTGAATAAAAAAAAAACCGAAACCCAACTGTTGGGACATTGTTTTAGGGAACTTCTGCATGTAGCATTGTCAAAATGTAGGATATGAAAGCCCAATTCTTAAGCTTTCTTTTAGTACAAGAATCATTCAAATCACTTATGTACTTTTCAAGTTACAGTATTTTAAACACAACCACCGTTTTAAGGTTCTGTCCACGGATCACAAAAAAGATCAGTGTTCTTTTAACACAAGGAAAAGAAATCACATAGGGATGTGTGTGAACTGTTTTTGTTTTGCTGAAAGAACGCACACCTTTTTTTGTGATCCATGGACAGAACCTTAAAGCGGTGGTTGTGTTTAAAATTCCGTAACTTGAAAAGTACTTGAGTGATTTGAATGATTTTTGTACTAAAAGAAAGCTTATGAATGGGCTTTCATATCCTAGATTTTGAAAGTGCTACATGCAGAACTTCAGTAAAACAGTAGTCTCGACATTTGGGTTTCGTTTTTTTTAATTACGCACCCTGTACAATGTATTTGTTTGAGTTATAGCTGCACTTGTTTGATAGATATTATGCAACATGTCAACGATCAGTGGAAACAAATAAAATTTTGGCATATTCTTGGGCAAGCGTGCCAATTAAATGTCGGGCAAGTTAGAAATGACATATCAAGTTGACATTGTTTGTGTAATTAGAACGAAGAGGGTATGTGATATTTTGTGAAGGGGGGTGGACTGTGAACATTTTGTAAAATGTGGACGCTATTTTGATAAAGTCAAGGAGTTATATTTTTGAGTTACATGTTAAAAAGTCATGCACGTTCACTTATTTTTTCTCCTCAGTTCTATTTGATAGAACATTTTTAAAGTCTTCATAAAAAGTCCTTCCTCTACAGTTCCTCCTCATAAAAAAAAAGTGGTTTCCATTGTTCACAGATTCTTTAATTTTTATAGTGTTACATTTATAAAAAAAAATATGAAATAGTAATCTTTATGCTTTCTTCGTTCCGTCCTTTTGTGCAGTCCCCAGTTCACTTGATTTAAAAAAGGAAGAAAATAATTGAAAATCTGACAGGAAGAAAAGGAACCTTTTCTCCGGCCGGACAAAGGAACATTCGCATGTTCCTTCACGGGTCGCATCCCGTACATAAAGCCGTCCCTGTAATTGGTTGGCTTAATAACGAACCGCCACTGACCATTCACACTCACTGGCCTTTCGCCTTCGCTCCACTTCCACCGTTGATCAATCACAGAGAGACCGCTGAATTAGTATAGGAAGCGTCTGTTTCCATTGTATGTGCAACCCCGAATTATGAGAAGAAAAAAGGAAGGGAGTGAATATGGAATGAGAAAAAAAGAATGCCCATCTACGCAGAATGAGAGCGTCTTTCAGTTCTGTGCTCGTGACTTCTATCAACGGTGAACCACAGCCTTGACCTAAAACCGAATTGCCTTCAAATTTGTTTGGATTTTTTTTTTTTTTCTTTTCCTTTTTTCTTTTTCTTCGCACATTATGCATAGTGTGCTGGCTCACTGTTCATCAGGCTGAGTTCTTCAGGCAGCATGTCAGCATGTTAATAAAGCGATTGCGACACCTTTGGACCTTCTTTGTTAGAGGCACTATGCCTTAATGTACATTGGCTTGCGGCCAAGCTCTGATAATTCTGCTGGATCCGTTTTAATCAGGCTGAAATGTGGAGTGGTCAGTGGGTGTTTTCGAAAGAGAAGTTAAACGTTGCCTCTGTTGAATAGGTTGAGTATCTAGGCCTCGACGTGGTTCTAGCTGTTGACTGTCATGTTGCTTTGTTAAGCAGAAAAGTACACAGAATCGCAAATTCTAGAGTTTTCTTTTTCCCTGCAGCAATATTTTGTGAATCCCACCACCAATATTATTATATGGATTTTACTTAAAATTGTAAAATCTTGTTTTAGATAATTTCAGAAAATATCTGAAGTATTAGATCATTTCTTTAATAAGAAGCTACCTTTCCGACCCCCCCTCCCCTCCAAAAAAAAGCCACAAAGAAACAAAATGAAGAATGCAGTGATGGCAAATTTGGAATGCTTTCATTTGAAAAATTGCAATGATGTGGCTGCAACAGACTTCGTTTTTAATGTTTCCAGCGAATTTTCATATGAAAGACCCCTCCTGGAAATAAGCCAACTATAAAAGCCAAAAAAAAGTGATGAATTGTAAGCAAATGCATCCTTTCAAAACAGCAGTATTTTTTTTCATTTCATATCAAATTACTTTTGCACCATCAAATTTTCACAATGGAATAGCGTTTATCCATGTGTCTCCGACCGGTGCCATTCCAACAGAATTGCCAACCCATTTCCAAATGAAAGCTTCACTTTTGTTGTCATTTTTCATCGTGTTTTTCTTTCTCCTTTTTTTTTTCTACTCCATCCTTTTTTTTTTACTCCCTCCTTTTTTTCTACTCCATCCAAAAAAGCAATCTCATCAAGGACTTGGAATTGTGTGGTCAAACTGACCGCTGGGCATCAGCATGAAATTGGGCCCACTGGCCATTTTCGTCGAGAAGCGCTGAGCGCAAATACACATGATCGTAATTGGCCTAGCAAAGAAAGAGATCTGACAAATGTGCATGTCGTTCAAAATTCCCGAATGTACCTATAGTAGGTCGCCAGAAATTTCAGCATAAAGTTGGAAATTGCTGTTTTCGAAGGGGTGGTGAATTCTTTTGTTCTAAGGTGAACCTTGAAGGTAATATCTGCAACATTTGCTTTTTCTGTAATTTTCAGTAATGAACAGATTGGGGGGGGGGGGGTAGTATTTTATATCAGGTACTGTTACATTGGCCTGTATAAAGTTTTGCGCTCATAGATGCTGTCCCAAAAAAAAAATATTGATTGCCGGCGATCACAATTTTCAGAATATTGTACTTTGTGTTTGCCACCATTTTTGACTCATGTTTGGTACCATTTTTTTAGCTTTATAGACTGGCTACCCAAATGGTGTCGTTTGTTTATGCATCGGAACGTTACGTTTTCATACGTGAAGTGAGAAAGACACCAGACTTCTGTATAGTTACCGCGCTTGCTCTGCGAATTTGTGACGTGACTGTTTGCGATTTCAAGTACGTTTTTGTCACTTCTTTTGCCCTAATTCCTGCCCAAATCTGCACGGAGAAAACTCATACTCATCTATACTATCAAACATCTTTATAACCTATTTTTGTCCCGTTTTATTAGTTGACTGTTCATTCACTATAACACAACAGTGGGATGTCTAAATAAGGCCATTTTGTCAAAAATTACTTCAATTTACATGTAGTTGGCGGTCTATATTTCTGTTGCTTAACTCAGTACCCCCAAGTGTTATAGAAAGCCCCTCCATGTATTGTGCAGAACACAGATATTAATATCTTGATTCTTAAGAATTCCGACTTGTTGCTCATCTTGTGGTGACAGGTGTGATCTGGAACTTTTTCTTAAAACTTTAAAAGAGTTCAAAGTGGACATTTCACAATGACACAATTGAGATAATTGTTGTTTTACATCGAATTGCATGCACCTGATTGCACATCTACCGGTACATCAGAAATGCATTTCTTTGCTCTTTTCAGCAAAAATTCCTCTCAATTTCATGCATGTATTCAGTTTTATATAGATGCAGTGTCTTCCCAGGTGTACTAGTTCAATAATATTATAAAGGAGGACCTTTTTCTCAGAAGCAGAAATTTGACCTCTTTTAACCTTGGTTACACTTGCGTAAGTGCCGATCTTATGTAATTGGCACAGTTGAACTTGCCAAATGTGTGTACATTTGTTCTCAACATTTTAACAAACAATTGTTATTATGCATAATCGTTTTTTTTTTTTTTAAATTAAGTTAAACCCTGCTGTTTGTTTACCTTTTTTTCTAAATGCACAGGTCCACGTGTGCCATCAAAACTTTCTGCGAGTGTGCAGAGCTCTATCATGACTGCTGCAGATGACTGCCAAACAGGTGTTGGTGGGTGGCTCCAGGCCAGAGACGATCATGGCATTTGTGTCCCTGAGGAGGGCACTTTACCTCGATTGTTGCTATAAACCCTGAGAACAGAGGATCACGAGACTTGTCGTCGAGCAAGCGACTTTGCTGTGATCGTTGCATGAACTGCAGAAACAACTGCGCAACTGATTGGTTGAAGTGGGCCCTGAGAATTATGAATGTGTGTCCCTAAGCAAGCGACTTTGCTGTTAGCAAGGAAGTTTGGCTAATGCGCACGCATACATCCTGTAACTACAGATTCTGTTCTTACAGGTTTGGCGCAATTTTTTTGCTAGTGCTTTAGCACAGAATGGTGGTCGTAAGCGCAGAAGTCTATTGGTTACCAGAGTCATGAACTTGGGCCTACATGTAGATTCGAGTTAAAGGTAGAATATATCACTTGTCAATTGTGCATTTTTGTCGTTCGAAGTAACAAAAGTGCTCAAAATCTAGAGAAGGGTGCTTAACAACAAACCTGATGAAGTTTCAGCTCATAAATGCTATTTATTCAGAGAAAACAATATTCTAGGATCTCAATTTCAATTCGAAAACTGCCGAGCCATGTTTTGAATTGCGCTTGAAATCAGCGTCCGGGACACGTTCTCGTTCAGCCGATTGCAGCTACGCGATGTCACGCACAGAACTCGACAAGTTATAGCAACCGCGTAAGCTTGTGCACATCCATTCACGGCTTTGCCGAATTAAAAACAAACTACTAATGGACATTTCCAAAAATGCGTCTTTAGACCAATCTTTCGAAACGACCTTCTTTTGTTGTTGTCTTCAAAATGACACCATGCCAGAAAGAATAATTTCACAGGGAGTTTAGTGCCACTGCTATCTTTAAACCAAGTAAGCTTTTTAACAATAATTTTGTCAGTTAATATTTGGATAGCTACAAATGATATACTCTACCTTTAAAACTTTACTCAACCATACATGATTAGTGAGATAATTAGAACAGCAAATTTGAAGTGGTAAGTGAAGTTTTCTGGTATTCGTTCTATAGAACGTTAACTGCGTCATTAAGTTTGTGTCACAAATTTTTCCCAAATGTAAACCCAAATATTTTATCTAGATCACAAAAGGTCAACAGATTTTGTTCTGGCTTGAAAAAAATGCATTCTTAAAAAGGTTATACCTTTTTGTTTAATTCAAGAATATTCCAGTTTTCTGTGTTTTTTTATTTAAATGTTCTTATTTCCAGCTTATTTTTGTACCAACTCTTACATATCTAGGCACCAAAAAAATAAGAATTTCATGCCTTTGGGGGCTGGACTCTGAAATTTCAGGTGTTTTCAAGTATTGTCGATAAAAACAAATCCTTCAAAGAGGAATTTGATCCTCAGGAAAACATTTTTGAGAAAATGACGTCCAAAGAGAGTATATATTCCACTCGTCGTAAAAGGTCATATATTAGACAGAATGAGGTGTTGCAGCAACGTCATTGTCTGGGTACAAACAGGAAAAATATTGAAGCGGATTTTTCGGATTATTTAGTAGTTTAATTAAAAATGTAAAGTTTACAATTACAGAAGTTTGTAAAGTTGCATCAACTACCTTGAATTCAGTTCTGTTTGTTCCCCAAATACAGCAGTGTTCCGGCGCCTTATTTACTCGCGACGCGCGAAGGGTGACGCTTCCAAACCAAACTCAATAACTGCTTCCAAACCAAACTCAATACAAATCCTTGGGGTAAGCCTTGCATTTTTATCAAAATTGGGCAAAATTTGACTTTTTCTGGAAAATCACAAATGTAAGGGGTTAGCCTTGCATTTTGATCAAAATTGGGCAAAATTTGACTTTTTCTAGAAATCATAAAATGTAAGGGGTTAGCCTTGCATTTTGATCAAAATTGGGCAAAATTTGCCTTTTTCTGGAAAATCAGAAATGTAAGGGGTTAGCCTTGCATTTTGATCAAAATTGGGCAAAATTTGACTTTTTCTGGAAAATCATCAAATGTAAGGGGTTAGCCTTGCATTTTGATCAAAATTGGGCAAAATTTGACTTTTCTGGAAAATCAGAAATGTAAGGGGTTAGCCTTGCATTTTGATCAAAATTGGGCAAAATTTGACTTTTCTGGAAATCACAAAATGTAAGGGGTAAGCCTTGCATTTTTTATCAAAATTGGGCAAAATTTGACTTTTTCTGGAAAATCAGAAATGTAAGGGGTTAGCCTTGCATTTTGATCAAAATTGGGCAAAATTTGACTTTTTCTAGAAATCATAAAATGTAAGGGGTTAGCCTTGCATTTTGATCAAAATTGGGCAAAATTTGACTTTTTCTGGAAAATCACAAATGTAAGGGGTTAGCCTTGCATTTTGATCAAAATTAGGCATAATTTGACTTTTCTGGAAAATCAGAAATGGAAGGGGTTAGCCTTGCATTTTGATCAAAATTGGGCAAAATTTGACTTTTTATAGAAATCATAAAATGTAAGGGGTTAGCCTTGCATTTTGATCAAAATTGGGCAAAATTTGACTTTTTCTGGAAAATCAGAAATGTAAGGGGTTAGCCTTGCATTTTGATCAAAATTGGGCAAAATTTGACTTTTTCTGGAAAATCACAAGTGTAAGGGGTTAGCCTTGCATTTTGATCAAAATTGGGCAAAATTTGACTTTTTCTGGAAAATCAGAAATGTAAGGGGTTAGCCTTGCATTTTGATCAAAATTGGGCAAAATTTGATTTTTTTTCTGGAAATCACAAATGTAAGGGGTTAGCCTTGCATTTTGATCAAAATTAAGCATAATTTGACTTTTCTGGAAAATCAGAAATGGAAGGGGTTAGCCTTGCATTTTGATCAAAATTGGGCAAAATTTGACTTTTTCTAGAAATCATAAAATGTAAGGGGTTAGCCTTGCATTTTGATCAAAATTGGGCAAAATTTGACTTTTTCTGGAAAATCACGAAATGTAAGGGGTAAGCCTTGAACTTTGATCAAAATTGGGCAAAATTTGACTTTTTCTGGAAAATCAGAAATGTAAGGGGTTAGCCTTGCATTTTGATCAAAATTGGGCAAAATTTGAATTTTTCTAGAAATCATCAAATGTAAGGGGTTAGCCTTGCATTTTGATCAAAATTGGGCAAAATTTGACTTTTTCTGGAAAATCAGAAATGTAAGGGGTAAGCCTTGCATTTTGATCAAAATTGGGCAAAATTTGAATTTTTCTAGAAATCATCAAATGTAAGGGGTTAGCCTTGCATTTTGATCAAAATTGGGCAAAATTTGACTTTTTCTGGAAAATCAGAAATGTAAGGGGTTAGCCTTGCATTTTGATCAAAATTGGGCAAAATTTGTCTTTTTCTAGAAATCATCAAATGTAAGGGGTTAGCCTTGCATTTTGATCAAAATTGGGCAAATTTTGACTTTTTCTGGAAAATCACAAATGTAAGGGGTTAGCCTTGCATTTTGATCAAAATTGGGCAAAGTTTGACTTTTTCTGGAAAATCAGAAATGTAAGGGGTTAGCCTTGCATTTTGATCAAAATTGGGCAAAATTTTTACTTTTTCTGGAAAATCACAAAATGTAAGGGGTTAGCCTTGAACTTTGATCAAAATTGGGCAAAATTTGACTTTTTCTGGAAAATCAGAAATGTAAGGGGTTAGCCTTGCATTTTGATCAAAATTGGGCAAAATTTGACTTTTTCTGGAAAATCAGAAGTGTAAGGGGTTAGCCTTGCATTTTGATCAAAATTGGGCAAAATTTGACTTTTTCTAGAAATCATAAAATGTAAGGGGTTAGCCTTGCATTTTGATCAAAATTGGGCAAATTTTTACTTTTCTGGAAAATCAGAAATGTAAGGGGTTAGCCTTGCATTTTGATCAAAATTGGGCAAAATTTGACTTTTTCTGGAAATCACAAAATGTAAGGGGTAAGCCTTGCATTTTTTATCAAAATTGGGCAAAATTTGACTTTTTCTGGAAAATCAGAAATGTAAGGGGTTAGCCTTGCATTTTGATCAAAATTGGGCAAAATTTACTTTTTCTGGAAAATCACAAATGTAAGGGGTTAGCCTTGCATTTTGATCAAAATTGGGCAAAATTTGACTTTTTCTAGAAATCATAAAATGTAAGGGGTTAGCCTTGCATTTTGATCAAAATTTGGCAAAATTAGACTTTTTCTGGAAAATCACAAATTGTAAGGGGTTAGCCTTGCATTTTTATCAAAATTGGGCAAAATTTGACTTTTTCTAGAAAATCATAAAATGTAAGGGGTTAGCCTTGCATTTTGATCAAAATTGGGCAAATTTTTACTTTTTCTAGAAATCATCAAATGTAAGGGGTTAGCCTTGCATTTTGATCAAAATTGGGCAAAATTTGACTTTTTCTAGAAATCATAAAATGTAAGGGGTTAGCCTTGCATTTTGATCAAAATTTGGCAAAATTAGACTTTTTCTGGAAAATCACAAAATGTAAGGGGTTAGCCTTGCATTTTTATCAAAATTGGGCAAAATTTGACTTTTTCTAGAAAATCATAAAATGTAAGGGGTTAGCCTTGCATTTTGATCAAAATTGGGCAAATTTTTACTTTTTCTAGAAATCATCAAATGTAAGGGGTTAGCCTTGCATTTTGATGAAAATTGGGCAAAATTAGACTTTTTCTGGAAAATCAGAAATGTAAGGGGTTAGCCTTGCATTTTTATCAAAATTGGGCAAAATTTGACTTTTTCTAGAAATCATA